CCCCCCCCCCCCCCCCCCCCCCCATCATCCCCTCCTGTCTAGCTGTGGCTGCCACTCTCTCTCTCTCTTCCTGGCTCTGGCATTCACTGTCCGTAGTCCCGGCAGTCTTGCTGTCCTCAATGTTCCAGCCACAATAATCCAGGCAGTGTGCATAACTGGCAAGGAGGCAGGAGTGAATTGCTTTCACAAGTGTGGCGTGCCTCCGCTTGGCCACGATGGCAGTGTGCATAACTGGCAAGGAGGCAGGAGTGAATTGCTTTCACAAGTGTGGCGTGCCTCCGCTTGGCCACGATGGAGGGCTGGCATTCGTTTGTTTTCACAGCTGAGAAGTAACCACAGTCTGAGGCTGCTTGGACCCAGTAGGGCGTTTTGGATGCTTCTAGAAACTATATCTGAGCCTTTGAATACACATTTGATTTGCAGCCGCTTTTTACTTTCTGAGAAATCTTGACTCTTGGTCTGCTCCTGGTTGGGCGTGGTTGTCGACTTCCCTGGGCCCGGGCTTGACCTCCTTTTTTTTTTTTTTTTTTTAATTTGGACCATTTCTCGATTTATGCGTGTCATCCTTGCGCAGGGGCCATGCTAATCTTCTCTGTATCGTTCCAATTTTAACGGATGTCCCGAAGGGCCCGGGCTTGACCTCCTAACTTTTCCAAAATGTTCTTTCCAGCCCATATATCCACATCTACCCATTTATCGACCAGCAACCACTTTGGGTCTAACTACAAAATGTACCCTATCTTACCTGTCACACATCTTGTCACTCCTCCAAGGAACATCACAGCCTTCTTCCTTTTCCTGAAAAAGACTGAAGCAGGTCCTTGATGGTCCTGGCTCCTTCTCCATTCTGGGGAGCTTCAGTCCTGTTCCCCTCTGCCGAAAGTAGAAAAGTGGAATCCAAGATATGACCCACAGAGCGCTTCCTTCCAACTTGGCCAAGAGACCCCTAACCAGCACTGATTGCTCCCTAAAGGAGGAACAACTGCCAGATAGCCTGTCCCTCATGTTCCCCTCAATCTCAGCAATTGCTGTGACTGTCACAATGCCTTGGGCATTAAGAACTGGAGAAGTACAGGATCTGCGTCATGTGCGGAATCTGTTCATGAGCTTTGTTAATGTCCACATGATACTATCTGAAAATCTGTGCTTTGAGGTCCTGACTCTTGTGGTGCGGCTTCTGGATGAACAGCTCAGTTCCCTGCCGGCACTTGTATCTCAGCATACTGTTGCAGGGTTGCACCTGCCTACCGCGAACCCCAACCGCCGACCATATTGCCGCCGACCAGTTGGGCCGACCAGTTGGCTGTCTGCCGACTAGTAAAAAAAAAAAAAAAAAAAAAAACCACTGATTTTTTTTCAAATCAGACTTGGGGGCTGTACAGCGCTTGCTGAGTACAACCCAAATCCGCTGAGAA